GGTTCGAAGAACCCAAGCCTGCTGGGTTCTTCAAACCCACGCTTGGATTCGAAGAACCCCAGGCACTGGGTTCCCTCAAACCCGCACTTGGGTTCCTTGAAGAACCCAGCATGCTTGGGTTCTTCGAAGGAACCTAGGCGCTGGTTCGAAGAACCCAAGCATGCTAGGTTCTTCAAACCCACGCTTGGGTTCAAAGAACCCAGGCGTTGGGTTCCTTCGAACTCGCGATTGGGTTCCTTCAAAGAGCCCAAGCTTGTTGGGTTCTTCGAACCCAGCGACGGCTGTTGGTGTTTGCCTCTAGGGTGTGAATGGGAAGAAGGAGAGAAGATAGTGATTTTTGCAGGAGGTGGGCCCCATAATTTTTTTTGTTGGCTGAAATATGATGTGTTTTAATGACATGGTATTGATGTGTCATAATATTTTGACATGTCATCATTTTCCGTTAGTTAACTGAACACATCATTGGATTTTCAACAGAAGGATCAAATCGGGATAAAAATGATAAACAGTAAGGACCAAATCAGGGATTTTTTTAGTTCAGGAACTAAATCGGGGGTCCATACAATAGTTCAGGGACCAAAAAAGGTTTTTAACCAATAAATAAATAAAAATAACAATAAAATAAAAAAATGATTACGTACTACTTCCTCTTAACAAAACTCTCCTCTTGTATTTTCGGGTCGGAGCTGAGGCTTTTTGTAAACTGGAACCATTACTCTTCTGTTTCTATTAATAAATTATCGTTTTGCTGATTGAGATAAAACAAACACCATTATAAAAGCAAAATGCTGCAACTTGATATTAAAAAATTGATTTTCAACTCTAATTAACCATGCATCTATACATGATACCTTCTCTTCATCCATCATATGCGCCGCCAACATATCTTTCTTTCTCTCTTTGCTCCACAGAGGCTTCCAACACCAACCAATTCTTTTCTTCAAGTTATGGATCCGCAATGGGCTGACCTTCTCCTGAGTCCCATCATCAATACCACAATTTCCAAGTTGATTTCCACTGCTGCTGAGCAAATCAGCCTTGCTATCGGCTGGAAGAAGGAGCTTGAAACGCTTCAGAACAAACTGCGCATGATCAAGGATGTGTTGCTGGACGCAGAGGAGAGACAGGTGCGAGACCATGCTGTGAAGGATTGGCTTGAAAAGCTCAGGGATGTGGTTTTTGAGGCTGATGATGTGCTGGATGAGGTTGCTTACGAAAGTGAGAAGTGCAAGGTGGAGAATCAAAACCAAAAGCTGAAAAAGGTGCATAAATTCTTTACCTCCAATCCCCTGCCATTTCGTAGTGAGATTGCTGGGAAGATTAAGAAAATTATTGCATCGGTGGAAGTTATTAACAATGAAGCGAGAGAGTTTGGACTCCAAAATAGACTTGCTGGCACAGTGGTTTCTGAGAATAGAAGAAACGCACAGACCCATTCCACTATTGGTGATTTATCAGAGGTTGTGGGGAGAGAGGATGATATCTCCAAAATAGTGCACCTCCTAAGTGACTCATCTAATGAGTTACGCCTTTGTGTATTGTCTTTAGTGGGTATGCCGGGTCTTGGTAAAACCACTTTAGCACAAGCTGTGCGTAATGATGAGCGAATCAAAAACTATTTTGGAAAAATAATGTGGGTTTGTGTCTCGGATAATTTTGAAGTAGAGAGAATTTTAACAGAAATGCTGGAGTCTCTCACTGGGAATTCTTGTGCAGTAAAAAACAAAGATACTGTGATTCAAAAAATAAGAGAAGCCATGGGGGAGAACAACTTTCTTCTGGTATTGGATGATATGTGGGATGAAGAGAGTCATGGGAAATTTGAAGACTTGAGAAGCTGTTTGCTAGGAGTATGTAAAATGTCAAGGAATAGAGTTATTGTGACAACTCGTAATGAAAAAGTTGCATTGAAAATGAGAACACTTCCTAAACACATGCATCATCTTGGGAAACTACAAATTGCTGACTGTTGGTCTATCATCAGGAAGAGAGTACCAGGAGATGCTTCTCTAACTCTAGAATTGGAGAAAATCGGAAGGGATATTGCTCAATTATGTGGAGGTGTGCCATTAGTTGCAAGGGTTTTAGGAGGTATTTTGAGTACAGAAAGGTTGGACGAAGTCACGTGGTTGTCAATTAAAAGCAAGATTGAGGCATTGGGTCCACTTGAACATGATACAGAAATCAGAGGTGTGATAAAATTGAGTTTTGATCACTTACCAGAGTCAGCTTTAAAGCAATGCTTTGCATTCTGTTCTATTTTTCCAAAAGATTTTGTTATGTATAGGAAGATGTTGATTCAGCTTTGGATGGCTAAGGGATTTCTCCAATTTACCGAAGAAAGTCTTATGACAATGGAGGATGTCGGTAATAAATATGTAAATGACTTGTTATCATATTCTCTCTTTCAAGAGCATCAAAGAGATTCTGTTGGAACCCTTATTAGTTGCAAAATGCATGATTTGATTCATGATTTTGCACAATTAATTTCAAAATCTGAGACAATAATTTGGAAGACTCAAAGGAATATTTCTAATGTTCGAAATTTGAATCTCATTTATGGTGTGGGAACAATGCCAACAAATTTAAGAGATGTTGCTCCAAAACTACACACTTTATTTTTGAAAGATGGTTTTTTCAATGATATGAAGGTGGATCTTAAAAGTTTACGAATTTTGAGTTTTGTTAATTCTGTTGGTACTGAAGAATTGCCACCATGTTTTGGCAACATAAAGAATCTGAGGTATCTAGACATTTCAAGAACTCAGATAACAAAATTGCCAAAGTTCATCCCCAAGCTATACAAATTGCAGACATTTAAATTCATGACTTGCAGATCTCTAGAAATGCCTCCTGAAGGAATTGGAAATTTAATCAACTTGAGGCATATATACTTCAGTGATGAAGAGCAGATGCCTGCAAACATTGGGAAACTAATGTGTCTTCAAACATTGCCAAAGTTCTTTGTAGGCACAACGAAGGGACGCAAAATTGAAGAATTGGGCAACTTGAGATGGCTCAGAGGAAGTTTGCAGATCTATAAACTTGAGCATGTTAAGGACAGATCAGAAGCTATGGGAGCGAAGTTAAATGAGAAGACAATTTCTAAGTTGAGATTAAGATGGGGAAAAGAAAGCAATCAAGATGAAGATGTTCTAGAAGGTCTCCAACCACACTCAGATCTGCAACTATTAGAAATTGATGGTTATGGAGGTAAAAACTTACCGTCATGGATGTCGAAGAATGTTTTGAATTGTGATTTGTTTTTGCTCAAGAATTTGGTGGAACTGAGAATTATGCAATGTAAAAAGTTAGAAAGTATTCCAGTAATGACAGGATTTTCATCTCTTCAGATGCTTTTTATTTCAAGCTGTATTGAATTGAGTACCATAGTCGATGGAGCATTTGCTAAATTGGCGTCCCTTAAAGGATTACACATACTCAATTGTCCTAAGTTGGAAAGGGCTTCATCCAATGGTTTATTATCCCCACAGTCACTCTTAATTCCCGATTGCAGAGAGTTGAATAGCCTTTCAACCTCCACGTGTCTAAAAGTTTTACTTTTGCGTGGCTGTAAAAATCTAAGGTCTATTCCAAGTCTACGTGGGCTTAGTTCTCTTGAAGAGGTAGTATTTATAGATTGTGGATTAGAGCAGCTACCCAGCGGGCTATCATCTTGTATTGCTCTTAAGGAGTTAATAATAGCCAGATGCCATAGCCTGATCTCTATTCCAGAAGAACTGAAGGAAATACATTCTTTGGTTGTTTTGTGGATTCACTGGTGTTCAAAATTGAGGAGCATCCCAGAAAATACCCTCAATTCCCTTACCAGCTTGAAGACATTGTATATTGGTGGTTTTTCGGAAGAGTTAGAGGAATTTCCTGGTCTCAGTTCTATCCACAGCCTCCAAGCCTCCCTTGAATACTTGAATTTGACTGGATGGGGAAAACTAACTGAGTTTCCACATCAAATTCAAAATCTAAATCTTACTGCTCTAAAAAGCGTGTCAATAACAGATTTTAAGGAAGTGGAGACATTACCGAAGTGGTTAGGAAACTTATCCTCTCTTAAATCACTATCTATTTGGGGATGCCTTGGATTAAAGTATCTACCAAGTGGGTTGTCGTGCTTCACTACTCTCGAGCGGCTTACCATATACAGATGTCCTAATCTGGTCTCTGCTAGATTAGAGGAGATCCTCGGCGGCCTTGCTCGCTTGAAGACATTATGGATTGGTCCTTTCTCAGAAGAGTTGGAGGAATTCCCAAGTCTGAGTTCCATTCACAACCTTGGCACTTCCCTTGAAGAATTGCGTTTGTATGGTTGGGCAAAGCTAACTCAGTTGCCACATCAAATTCAACACCTCACAGCTCTAAGGCACTTGTCTATATGGGATTTCCATGGAGCAAAAGCTTTGCCAGAGTGGTTGGGAAACTTGTCATCTCTTCAAGATCTATGCATCAAGTACTGCGAGAATCTGGAACATCTCCCTTCTGCAGAATCCATTCGGCGTCTCTCCGAATTGAAATTCCTTGAGATTTCAGAATGCCTAGTGTTAGAGACAAGATGTCGCAAGGAAAGCAATTCAGAGTGGTACAAGATTTCTCACATTCCAACCCTCAGAATAAATGGAGAGGACATATAATCACAAGATTCAAGTTTCCGAAAGGTAAATGGTATGTCTCATCTCTGGAATCCCAGCTCCTATTTTATTTTTCTTGTAATTACACATTTTGAAGTTTATGAATTCCAACAACTAATTCTCTCCTCATTCTATCAATACTGTGAATTTATCAATTAATATGAACTTAATGTTATCACACGAAAATTATTTTAACTTCAGGTTTTTACATATTAATTAGAAGTTTCCTTTATCTTTCTACACTTTTTTTTACCTTATTCCATTTCTTTTACTTGATGTGTAGCTGAAGAATATATAATTGGTTGATTGGAAGGAAGATTTCTAAAATTCAGAAATGAACTCCAACAAGAAGAACCTATTAGCTTCTAGCTTCTGGTAATTAACTAATTTTGTGAATTATAGCTTCTAGCTTCTTAAGGTACTTTGGGCTTTCAGAGAATCACTGTACATTTGGACAATGTTCTCTTAAATGAGATGTGTCCCTTTCTGGTTTCCATGGCGTAAAAGCTTTGCCAGAGTGGTTGGGAAATTTGTCATTTCTTCAAAATCTAACGATTACACATTGCAAGCATCTGAAATATCTCCCTTCTGCAGAAGCCATTCGATGCCTCTCCAAATTGAATTTCCTTCAGATTTCGAAATGCCCAGAGTTAGAGGTATGATGTGGCAAGGAGACTAGTGGTCCTGAGTGGTACAAGATTTTTCACATTCCAACCATCTACATGAATAAACAGTTCATATAATCACAAGATTTAGGTTTTTGAGAGGCAAATGGTATGTCTCATCTCTGAAATCCCAGCTCCTATTTTTTCTCATAACTCCACACTGTAATTTATGAATTTCCAACACTAATTCTCTGCTCATTCTATCAGTACTGCCAATTTATCAATCAATATGAACATCATGTTATCACATG